CCCTACAGCGACTCCTCAGCTGCTGCCCGTTCAGGACGAATGTTTAATCTTGCAAAAGGGTATTTCTGATTAATTAGTAGAACCTCAACGAACGATTAATTACACTCAACGCTCAACAGGTGTGTTGTCAACACGGTGACTCCACCTGTCAAGCGCGCGTCCGTCTCCGCCTACCGTCCCGAACGACCCCCCGTCCAGCAGAAAGCACACTTCTGGCGTGGAATAATGAGAAATGAACGATCACACTCTTCATCAGTCCCAAGTCTTCCCCGCGGGGGTACCTGTCAGCACCTCCTCTTACCTGGAGGCGCAAGACCGCCCGAAAACCAGTCTCCTCGCTGCCAGAACCGGCAAACCGAGCTCCGCACCCCGACCAGGCTGGCCCTCGAACCAGTGCGAACCCGTCCCTTCCGGACCCGTGCGAGCGAAACCCGCAGCCCAGTCCGCTGCCGGAGAGTTGCTGGACTTCCGGGATCAGCGGATATTAACACCGCGAGGCAAACGGGCCGCAAGCACTTAAAGAGCTCGTGTCCTGATTTGATTACAGCCAGCACGAGGCTCAGGACGGGTGGGGAGGGGGCTCCCGCCGGGCTCCCCTGCAGTCAGACCCGGGCTGGCCGAGGCTGACACTTTCCAGCGACTGTCAAGCTGTTTCTTGAGCCAACATGGCGCCCACAGGGCTGCAGTTGCCTGGCTGCGAGTGTGTTCTTTGGTTGGCTGTCCTCGGAAGAGGAGACGGTGTCGCATCTAGACAAACCGGACAGACAGCTGTCTGGGCTCTTCCTTCTGTGAAAATATCTGTAAAGCTTTAATTAGATAGTTCTCGGAAGAGCATATATGGAAAAAGAGTTCAATCACTTCTAGTCGTCACTTAACATTACAGCGTCATTTTAGGTCACGCGTGTTTCTGCAGTCTGTAGCCTCCTGTATTAACCCTTCAGCAGGCGCGCGCAGGGGTGATCCACCCGAAACGGCCGCGGTTGCCTTAGCTACAGTCGCGTGGATAGTAAGAGGCTCGGGGACTCTCCTGCGGTGTTGAGGTCCAAATGGAGCCCGCTCTCAGGTTACAGGAGTGGTTGTTTGAGGGGTCCGGGTTTGTAGTGTATAACTGGACTGATGTTTTAAGGGAACTTGAGCTGCAGTCAGCGCAATTCCTGTTCCAGTGGGAACAAGCATGTACGCCAAACCTTGACACCCTGTGTCACACTTATAACATATACTTATATTCATATTGCATATACCCTCTACACCCTGTACCCCAACCCCCTAAACTACTACATCCTGTACCCCAAACCCCTACAGCACTCCACCTTGTACCCCAAAACCCTTATAGTACTACACCCTGTATCCCAACCCCCTAAACTACTACACCCTGTACCCCAAATCCCCACAGCACTACACCCTGTATCCCAACCCCCTAAACTACTAC